GAATCTCCGGAGGTAGGTTATTCCAGAGGCGAGGAGCCACCGCCGAGAAGGCCCGGTTTCTAGTTCTTTCCTTTCGGGCCTCCCTCGGCGTCAGGCTCCTCAGCCTCACCTCCTGGCTCGCGCAGGTGACACAGGTAGAGCCAGTTGGGAGTAAGCGTTCAGCCAGGTATCGAGGTCCTAAACCGTTTAGGGCTTTATATGTTAGCATTAACACTTTGAAGTCAATGCGGAAACAGATGGGCAGCCAGTGCAGCATGGCCAGAGTAGGAGAGATATGTTGATATTTTCTCATTCCACTAAGGAGTCTGGCCGCCGCATTCTGCACCACTTGAAGTTTCCGCATCAGCTTCAAAGGAAGCCCCACGTAGAGCACGTTACAGTAGTCTAATCTAGAAATTACGAGTGCATGTACTAAGGTAGTGAGTGCCCCCGTGTCTTTTAAGAAGTTTCAAACCCTCTTTTCTGCCAAAAATAACATGAGCCAGGTAAAAACAGTAAAATTCAAAGAAAAAACAAGTACAACAGAAATTAAAACATATCACTCAAAGAAAAAACATATCACTCTAAATAAAGAAAAAACATATCACTCAAAATAAAGAAAAATGTGTAGCCTGTATAATTAAATTGTAAACCACCCGGAGAGTGCTTGTAGCGCTATGGGGCGGTATATAAGTCCAAAAAAAAAGAAAGAAAAAAGAAAAAAAGAGAAAAGAATACTACCCAGAACCCTTTAATTGCAGTCTAGTTGAAATGCCATTGCTTTGATATGTCTCTAGGTTACATGATGTTCCAGAGAATGGTGGGTAGCGCTTGGAAATTTGGGGGTCATTTTCTAGTTAAAAGAATAGTGGTTTGTCTAAGGAAAGCCAGTCACTTCATGGATGACCTGTGATTAGATATGAGCACAAAAGGCTAGTTCGGCGATGCATGCCCAGTTTGCTTAGTGGCCAAACAGGTGTTTGCCACTTCAAAGCTCTTCCTCCTCCGATGGGTGCCATTCAGAGGCAGCACAGAGACTAGCTCATGTTCTTAACAGCTGTGCTTGCGACATCTTTTGCCAACCTGAATCACACCATTTTGCTCCCCATTAGAACAGAAAAAAAGTGGTGGCAGATCCAAAGAAAAATAAGACTCTGAGACCTGTTGGGTGGCTCACTGAGGCTCTGAATTATCTTTGCCCGATGGTAGCAAAGGGGAGTTAAAACAATGAAAATAATGAGCACTGTTTCCCTTTAGGATAGAGCACCTAGGACTCAATGTGGTTCTTCAGCTTCTGGTAGGAGTTCCCCTTGAAATGGTGCATGGTGCAGCAAGGATTGGGTTTGTCTACATTGCTGGAGTTGTCGCAGGTAAGTGGCAGATGATATTCAGTAAAGGGAGAAACTACTCACTCACCATAGCTGTGCAGTCTGTGAGAGGAATGGAGTCAGAAAGAGCACAACATTTGCCTCAGTTAAGATGGCTGAACAATTTTGTTTGGGAAGACCTCTCTCTCTGTTGTCTTTGCTCTATTATCCTAATTCTTCAAGCCCTAGAATTGTTGATCTGATGTTACCGCAAGAGTCTTCCTTAAAAATGGTAACCGCTCAGAGTAGACCTTTGGCCTAGATGGGCAGGATAGAAATCCAATAAGTAAATAAATAAATAAATAATGAATAAGGCAGTAGCAGTTTAGAAAATAACATTTTGTAGAAGCAAAAGCCCACCAAGCTCAGAGTTCATCAAAACTTGTGCAGGTGGTTCTCCTTTGGAGGTCTGGTATTTCATATATCCCAGCTTCTGTTGGTTGCCACAAATGAGAAAGTTCTGCAGAGACTGTGCAGCTCGTAAACCCCCACCAAAAAAGGGGGAGGTGTCTCTGGTTTGTTTCTAATGACCCTTGAACTACAGTATTTGGATTCTGCATGCAACCAACATGTACGGATTATGCAGAAGAGCACATGTGTTCATAAACTGTACTCATCTCTCGTAGTGTTCCCATGCAAACTGAACCATCTTTCAGCTGTGGTTCCTTAGGACTTGAGGTATTTAGTTATGTCTATGGGGCCTAGACGTTATCTCCGTGCAGGGCAGATAATATTTCAACTAGTTCTTCTGGTGCCAGCTTTACTTGTCAGTAGTACTACATAGTAAGTGCAGGAGCAAACAGTAGTATAACCAAACATGCATACGTAGGGCTATGACAAGAGAAGAGCTAATACTTATTGCACTGTTTGCTGAAACTTCTTTTTGGTAAGCTTCAGTTTTAAGACCATAAATACAACCATTTTGAGACAGGTTACTCTCTCCGTCTTCACAAAAGACATTTCCTGTGATAAAAAGAATCCCATGTGTGTGTGTGTGTTTTTTTTAATCTGTATTTTCAACTGATCTCCCTTTACTGTGCTTTCAGTACTTGTTGGCTCAGAGTTTCTGGCTAGGGCCAGACAAGTGAATCTAAACCATCCTGATCTGATTGACTGAGTATTTGTATTGCATTTTTAAATTCATGTATTGTGCTTTCACATTTTGAAATTGAAGAAAGTAGTTTAGATAAAGATTTAATTGACACAAGAGCAGAGAACAAGAGACAACCAAAAATTAAAATTCACAGTGAGGCTGGGGCAGTAATAAAATCATCTAGCTGTGAATACTAGTACAGTATAACTTAACTTTTACTATAGTTAACAAATAAGGCAGTAAGAGAAGTAAGCTGTAATGAATCAAGGCATGTTAATCTAAATCCCATTGATTTGTTGGGTCTACTCTGGTTGGAATCACCAGCAACATTCTGGTACAGATGTGTTTTATGCCATTAAAACAATACATGAACATGGAAGTATAATCTTTATAATTGAATCAGGGGAAGAGGGATGGGAGTTACTTTTTTTTAACAAAGTGTGATGGCCTATTTAGCAAAGAAGTCAGCTTTGATTTTACTCTGATTTCTGAGCTGAGGGAGGGCTTTCCAATTTGAAGTAGTCTATTTGGAGCATTAAATCATGTTCCTGTTTCAGATGCAAGCCAGACATAAAGTTTACTAAGTGAGAATTTGGCTCGAAATGGGGAGAAGTGAACACGACTGCACTTGCTTACATTCATTCCTTTCTATAATTCAGTCTCCCATCCTCACTTTTCCCTCTTGGCCGTTACCCTTGTCATTCTCTTCCTTTTCCATCTTCAACATTCGCCAATGTCAACATTCATATATAAGATATTTTGCAAATCAACTGCCTTTTTCCTGCCTGAGTTTTTTGTGTCCATGTATGTTCTCCCACAATTTTCTCCCTAGGGAGGTTAGAGTATCTGCTTATTAGGTTGAGGTGCATGGAATTTTGAATGACTGAAAATGCATTAACACTGTTTTCTGTTGTTTTTAACTCTCTCTCTCTCTCTCTCTCTTAGTTTTTGCTGTGTAAGGATATTTTAAAGTTCTTAAAATGTTGCAAATTGTGAGTCACCCTGGGAGACACTTTCTAGGCTGGAGAGTAGTTCTTTCATTTTGTAAAAAATACATACATATTTGTTTCTTATGTGGGACTGGTATTCAGTAGTCTAGCATTTAGCATGTCTGATTTTCCCACCTTTCTCCATCCTACATATTCTGCCTTCTGTCAGCTGATTTTGCTCATCTTAACTATGTCAGATCGACTGAGGAAAGGAAATACTGAACTTGAAAAGGGATAAGGAGTCTCATTAAATGATGCAGCGAGTCCTGGAAAGACATTGCCAGGGAAAGATCACAGGCAGAAAGTATGTCTTTGCTATCAGCCAATTATTTCCCAGCATGGGGGTGAGAAAATTCGCTTAATAGTTGCAAAGTGTTTGCACCACACACAGAGAGAGAGAAAGGAGGTATAAAATCAGTATGTCTGTACTTATTAAATAAATAGGTGCAAATAGCTTGTAGACAGGGCGGAAGGATCAGATAATATTCATGCATGATTTTTAACTGGCCTTTATAAAGCAGTTAATCTCACACGTCTAATCTTTCTCTCCTTTTGCTTTCTATTTGCATCTCTTTTTTCTCTTTTTCAAAGTCGTAGCCATGTTAGACAAAATCACCAGCATATTAGACAAAAACAAAAAAAAGCAACTAACAACAGATAAAATGTTGCGACACTTTAAAACTTTACAATTATATTTTAATGTGAGACTTATTAATTTTTTCCAGTATCTTTTTTCCCAAATTGTGGGGCCATGTGTGAAATATGATTGTCATATACAGTAGTAGTTTGATTGCCTGCCTAGGGCCTGAACAGGCACGGAAAGTGCACATCCTATTTCTCCCTAGAAAGTTTACTTTATGCTGCAACACAGTAAAGATACTGCAAAGTTTAAAAGGTCATCGGAATGCAGGGATTAGGTACGGAGGAATGGAGCTCTAGCCTATGTTCTCCAAAGTCAGTTCTCTCATCTGCAAAGACACTACTTCATTAGCTCTGTGTGCGTTGTTTCAAATGCCGTTGCGTCTGAGCAGAATACAATTCTAAACAAATGAATGAAATTATATTTCGCTTGCATAAATGGATAGCTCAACAATATCACCATTGATTCGTACCCTGCTTAGTGGAGGGATCTGGTGGGCCACTGTGGAAAGAGATGCTGGGCCAGAAGGTTTCGTGCTCTCGTCCAGCACAATGCTCCTTGTATTCTTAAAGAGTGGCTCTCTTTGGGCAGAGGTGGGTGTGAATGGACAGAGAACTCTGGAAAGAAAAGGTCCCATTGAATATGTCAGACTGGAAGACCTCCTCATATCCCTAGCCGGGCATGGCCTTTAGTGTGGGCAGGTCCGTCTGGTGCTGAGCTAAGCTGGGTGTGCACTGACTGCGTTCTCTTCAATGAGCTCCAGGGTTAGAGAGAAGTCATTGTTTTGGACCTTTTTCACAATCATTTTGGACTCTTGGGTACGGCTTCCTTTTCCTATTTCCCGTTTGATGCCATTTGTTGTAGAGAGAAAGCACCAGGGCTTCAACTGGGGCTTTGTAAGTCTGCATAAGCTACACTGCAAATATGGCTTGGGATTTTTGCTTGTTTGTTTTGAAGAAGGGGTGCTCACTGCCCTCGGTGCTCTTTGTCCTGAAGCTAGCTCTTCCTTTCCCAGCAAGCTTAACATTAAGAGTGGAAGGCATGCCTTGACAAATCCCACCAAGGCCCATCTAGTCCAGTGTTTGGTTTTTGAGCCTGTGGCTTCAAAGAATTCCAGAGACAAGATACGAAGCTCATGGGGATACAGTCTTCAGAGGTGGAGTGCTTCTGAGCAGGGCTGCTTCACTGGGCTATTGTCCTGGGCAGCCCAGTCTTCTGTGAGATAGTCTAATTCTTTTCAAAAGCCATCAGCAGGAAGGTTGCCATTTCTGTATTGGAAAAAGGCATGTTTCTTACCTTCAGGACACATGCCTCCTCCAAAATTGTTCAGCAAGGGTGCAGCTATTCTACAAGGAAAGAGTTCTCATTAAAATAAATGTCACTTTGCCAGTTCATGCCTAGAACAGGTGGGCAAAGATCAGCAGTTTTGATTAGAACAATACTGCCATAATTCTTTTTTCCCCTTCCTCCAAGGTTCTTTGGCCGTATCGGTTGCTGATATGACTGCGCCTGTCGTGGGCTCATCTGGAGGAGTCTATGCTCTCATATCTGCCCACCTAGCCAACATAGTAATGGTAAGCACTGGAAGTAGTCATGCATGAGAGTTTGGAAAAATTACTTTTTAGGTTTGCAACTCTGAGTCACATTAGCTGAGTGATTCTGAGAACTGTAGTCCAAATCTAGCTTTTCTAAGCTTTTGTAGTGATACATTTTGGATTTGAGAGTGGAAGATGCCATTCATTGGCCATAAGTTCATTTCCATTGTAACTGAACTATTATGATGACTCTAAATAGCTATACAAATAGCTACACTCCAAATTGTTACAAAGTGGTTGAAATACTGTTGCTTTGTTAGGCAGGCAGAAAACAAACATTGCAATTTTCAGTGCTTTCTAGCTGGCAATTAAAAAGTCCCCTCTAGGATTCTTCGGTGCATTCCAAGCTACCAGGTATCTGTGCCCTGAGAATCCGATCAGTGACTCATCAATTACCAGCTAGAAGCAATTGAATGTTATGTTGTTTACTTCTGCATGCGTAGCATTTCAGCCATACATTTTTAAAATTTCTCTGTGGAAACCTGGATTTAGGTAAACTTTAAAATGGAGCAGAATGAGGTTTTTTGCACCATTCTGTGCCTCAAATACCTCAGAGCAGTGTGAGTATGTTTTGTATTTGTGTGTGTGTGTGTGTGTGTTTGTTTGTGGTATTTTCATGTAGTCTTTTGACTATATACTGTCTAGAGCAAACATACAGTACATGAAAATTTATACTAGATAAAATTAGACTGTCACAAGAGGCTATAGTAGGTATCTGCAAAATTTTCTCTTGCTACAGAGTCCTGGTGATTTAAAGCAGTGATTCTTAACGTGGGCGATAATGCCCCCCAGGGGGCGATATCATTTTTCAGGGGGACGATAGAATGAAAAGGGGCAGCGTGGGGGCGCTGGAGCAGAAGGGGGGCAGTAGGGGGGCGCTGGAGCAAGCCAAACCTGTGAAGATGGCTGCAGTCTTTTTACAGTGTGCATGAATATATATTTTCCTCCAATTTTAATTTAGTTTCAGACTTTTTGTCTTGAAATTTTTAGTTCCTGCATTTGTTTTTATGCCCTTTTTATATTTCTTTTTGCGTCTTAAAATTCACTCGCAACTAAATCATTAAATGTTACTTTTGGGGGAGCATTTCATTTTCTTGGAATTTAATTTTGTTTTCAGGGGTCATTGGATTTAAGTGTCTTAAATAAAACAAACAAACAAACAAACAAACAAACAAACAAATAAAAAAGATATAATCAACGCGGGGAGGGGGCAATGATAACTTCCTCAATGGCTCAAGGGGGCGTTTCTTTCAAAAAGGTTAAGAACCACTGATTTAAAGTATCCTTATTCTCACTCACTGGTGGTGATGAACTTGCATAGTGAAAATGGTGCTTTGCATTTGCCACTGCACCACATTCACAACAGTGCTCACTTCTTTTGTTATATTTTATTTTTCTTTGGAAGGTTTTTTGCTTTCCAGTGTGCCTCCAAGCAACTGCAAGGAAAAAAAAGAGAGAGATCTTTGCCTCCAGAATGAAATGTTTCTGTAAATAAATAAAGAGAAAGCAATAAGGCATTTCACCCATTGGGAAATAATAGAGGTGGGAAGTAAACTAAAGAAAGATGCATGACATTGCAGAGTACAGGAGAAAATGCAATATTTAACACCAGCCTCCCAAGCATTGCTGCTGCTCTCTGTGGAGAACTGAATAAAGGAAAATTAGTTTATTTTTCCTTCTGAAATGTGACTCTTTTTCAGCTCTGGAATTATTTACTGACAAACCCCACAGGCAGCCATGTAAAATACAGACGGACCTGTTCACTAACAACTTAGCTCACATAATCTTTGCTCTGAGATTAGGCCAGTCCTAGCATTAGACAAAGGCATGAGGTGCTGGTAGCACCAGTGGGGGCACCTCCTCAGCTCTTCCTTATAGACTCTCCAGCTTGTGTCCTTTGTTGGAGAACAGAACTGTGTACGCCACACAACATGTCCTTGGTCCCTTAGATTAATCCTCTGCTTCAGACATGGCGGGCACTGTCTTAATGCTACTGGGGAAGAAAGGCTTAATTGCCAGTCCAGTCAGCCTCGGTAGGAAGGACAGGGGAAGGAAAGTCATTTTGCCTCTTGCTTCAGGCAGCAGAGTCTTTCAGTCAGCCTTGATGGTCAAGGCAAAACTATGCATTCTGGATATACCATCATTAGAAGATGAATTATCTAAGTATTAAGGTCGATGGTCACAACAGGACTGCCTTTGTGGAAGGGGTGCACTTTTTTCTGGGGGACACAGAAATGCCTCCAGGGTGCAGGCAGCCCACACACTACATTCCCCTCTCTGCTATAGAAAGATTTTTTTTTAATACAGGAGCAACTACACTCCATGTGAGTATAACTGCCTGTTTTGCAACATTGTTTCTAGCAAATCCTTTCTCCTGATCCTATAATAGTCTTTAATCTCCATGGGATAAAATTATATCTAGAAATAACATTAGACTTCATTATTCTGCAACCAGAGAAGGGCAGATACACTGCCAAATGCTGTAACTCTTAAGATAGACCTGATTTGTTTCCCTCCTCCTACTTCTTTAATGGGTGACGTTAGGTACAAATGTTATAGATGTTAAACATCATCTCTCCTAATAGATGTTTTGTTTGTAAGTGATCAAATTCTGAGTTGTTTTTTTTTTTTGTGAAATCTAACATTAAAGAGCAGTCAGATTTAGTTAAACCTTGGCTTTTCCAGAGCAGGAAAAGCAGCATAGCCCTTTCATCATAAGTTGGATGGTTACCAGGATCCACTTCCAAATTCAGTTTCAAAAGTCACTTCTCAAGAGAGACTGCCTTTCTTTACGTCCTTTAATAAATGTCCAAAATCGTCCATTACACTCTTAAAGTTTCTTTTGTAGAGCCTTTGTTTGTTTGTTCATTTCTCTGCCAGTGTAAAGCTAACTAAAATCTTCTGATCAGGAAACTCTTAGAACTTCAGAGAAAATGCCATAGAGCCAAGCTCTGCTCTCAGGGACAAATCACAGAACAAAATAAACCATGATTTCACAAGGGATACGAAAATCATGAAGGGGCATGCGTTTTGTCACTATAGTTAACAAAACAAATCTTACTTTGCATGTACAGTGGGAAAAATATCAAGAACAACAGGGACTAATCAAATGCATTATAGAGAACAAGTGGCCCATTTGGAAGCGTCCTAGACTCCTTGGTTTGCTATACCACTATGCAAGGCAGCAGTGTTGTCTGGATCATTTTCAAATGTCCTTGTATTAACTGGAATTGCATAGGTTTAAAAACAGCTGCTTAAATTTTTACCTAACCTTTTGTTTGTTTGGTTGGTTGTTGTTGTTTTTTGCTTGAACTGGAACCAGTGTGTAATAGCGGCACCAAACTGGAATTCAGTGCAAGCACCTAATGGGTAGAATGCTTGATGGTCAACCCCTGCAGCTAGAGGTCATCTCAGCTAACAACACTGCCCACAGTTAATGCTAAATTATCAATTATAATTATCAATTGTAATTATAAATCACAATTATGTGTACTGAGTTCAGTGAACAGTTACATCTCTGTTGGCCTCCACACATAGGTCTTGTTCATCTTCACCTGCGTTTGCACATACCTTTCCTAAACTGAAAACTGTTCTCTCGAGGGAAAGTTAAAAATGGTGAGAGGATCTGGATGAAGCTGTAACACTGTCAGGGCTTCTGCAATAAACAAAGCTGAACTGCAGAACCCATCACATTAATGTACATGTGTATGGGCATATGACACCAAACACAGGAAGATATATGTAATATATACATAAAGCATACAGACTTGCAGTGCATAGAGTTTCTTGATTTTTTTTTGTTCCTGAGTTTTTAAGCTCAAATCCATTGGCTTGTAATGTATTGCTTGGCTGTTCCTTGTCTCTCTCTCTCAGCACTTTATTCAAAAGGATGTAGGCGTCTACTAGGGGCCTTTAAATTTAATGAGAGACTGGATGAAAAATACCTGCAATGGTAGGATGATCATTATCATATCTGAATTATTAACTCTTGCCCCTTTGCTAAGGCAGTGTGTACTCTGTGCTTAATCCAGACACAAAATGCATTCTGATATAACCCTAGAACTAAGCCCACTAATATAGTTGATATAGTTGAAATATTGAAATTAATATAGTTGATAACAGACATTGCTATAAAATGAGCACAGAAGTAATTTCATCTGAAAATACAACGGAAATCCTGGAGCGGGTCCATTCTTCTCTGCCAAATGCGAACAAAACAATCTGTTTCCCCTTCCAAGTTCAGTTCCTTGGGTAGGTGGCTTTCTGTGAGGCTCTTTAAAGTACAAATAGAAACAGAAATTCCTGGGGTGCTAAATTCAAGATCCATTGGATTTACAAGACTTTACTTGCCTTCTAGCTGACATCATAAATGTTCCTTTCTGTAGGATGACTGGGGGGGTGGGGGAGATTTTTTTTAAAAAAAAAATTAAGACAAAACAGAGAAAAGGGAAGAGGGAGTCTCTCCTGGGAGGGCAGTTCATAATGGGGACACTGCTACTAAAACATCCCTTTGCTCTTTTTGGCCACCAGCCTCACTGACTGGGCAAGGTACATCCTCGGAGAGAAAGAGAGAGAGAGAGAGAAGAAAAAAAGATACTGGGAACACCCAGTAAATCCAAGCTAATAGAGAGACAAGGACTCAAGATATGAAAAATCAGGTTTCTTCATTAGAAGAACATTAATTATTTTTTTCATCTTCTTCAGGGGCACAGAGAGGCAGCTGGTTGTAAACAGTTTTTCAGATATTTCCGTAGGTGTTACTTTATTGCCATTTATGAGGGCAACAAAATAATTAGCTGGCTGAATCACAGATGGCTCTTTTAATAAATAAGCCTAACTTTTTCATACATGAGATGTCATCTTCTCTTTAGATTGGACCCTTATGGAGACAGGCATTCCTTCAAGATATATGCTAGGGCATTTTGTGAGACAAACTTGCTATAATAAATCCCCCTCTCAAAATAGTACCTGGAACACCT